ACCCCGTCCGGACGCCCAACGCGCAGCGCGCCGCCGAGGCAGCCCGTGCTGCAAGATGAAGGCTCGGTGTATGATGGAATGGCGTGAACACATATACGACTCTGTGCCTTTTCTCTTCTTTTTTTTTTCTTCCGTGCGTGTTCCGGCAACACGCTGCTGATGGTGCGTGTGTGTGTGTGTGTGTTTTTCCTTTTGGTTGTTGGAGCCTCTGTGTGTTTGTTTGTTTTAGGGAGAGTGGACTCTGCTGGAGACGCGTTGCAAGCTCCGGATGAGGGCGGGGAGGGGGGTGGGGTGCGTATGGAGGAGGGTTGTCCATCTATGCGGAGGCACATGTGCGCCGTGGCATACACATATATTTTTGGCCGTACTGTGCAGCCGCAGCATGTCCTCATCTTGTTGTCGTTGTTGTTGCTTCACCGGCGTTGTGCCCCCCGGTAACGCATATCTGTGTGTGGGTGTTGGCATGGCGTCGCCTGTGATCTGTGTGCGCACGACTCTCCTGCTCTTGGGCCTGGCTGCGTCCTTCCTTTCCCCGCCACCCACTCCACTATGTGTTTCGTTGACTTCAAAGAAGCACGTTTTTTTTCTTTTCTTCTTCGCTCTTGTGAATCGCGGTGAAATTGACCGGTGTATGATGTCTTTCACTGCCGTTTGTTTTATGGGCTTCTCTCTCTCTCTCTCGTTGTGTGTGCGTGTATGTATGGGTGGCACAGCGCAAATCATGTACCATGTGTCCCCGTTCCCTTATCACTTTTATTTATATACAGTGTTTCTCTTTTGTTTTCGTTTTCTTTCTGTTGCCTATTTCTTATTTGTATTTGCTGCGACATGCTCCTTTTTTGTCACCCCCCCCCCTCCTTCCCCCGTGTTGTTACTTTCCTTTGTTGTTGTTGTTGTTGCTGCTGTTGTTGTTGTTGTTGTTGCTGCTGTTGTTGTTGTTGTTGTTGTTGTTCTTTTGGTGGTGAAGGAGTTTGCTGGCATTTAGCACCTGCCCCGGCCCCCTCTCACATGTAACGGTGCTGGGACTTTGTGTGTGTCTGTCTGTGTGTCATAGAGGGGGAGGGTGGGGGAGAAATAGTGATAGAAGGCATGAGTGGGGGGTCGGTGTGTGAGCGGGGCCTCTGCGTTGAATGGGGGCGTCCCACGCCAGCCGTGCAACGCCCAATTTCAGCAGCAGCAGAAAATGAAAAAGAAGGGGGTTTGTGCGGGGTTATAGTTAAAGGAGTACGCCAAGCAGGAGATATATATATATATATATATAGCAACAGGACAGTGTGTGGAGAGGAAATGTACATGGCGGGCAAATATTCTCGCAGGCCTCTTTTTCTACAAGTCATCAACACTTCTTTTTTTGTTTCTTGACTCATGTACTCTCAGTGGTTCTTGCGCGGTAGCTGTGGGCGGGGGCATTCACCTCCTCGCCCCCCACACACACACACTCTCTCTCTTCCTCACCTCTTGATAAGACGCACGCAGTGAGTGGGAAACACGACACAATTAATACACTCGCTTGGGGGGCGGAATGGAACGTATATGCACACACATACACACACACACACACACGCAATGAAGTTTTGGTCCTGTTGGCATGTTACTGTTCTGCATGTATTGATGTTGGTGTTGTTGTTTTTGTTTGACTTCTCTCTCTCTCTCTCTCTCTGCCTGTGTGTACATGTGTGTGTGCCTGTGCGTGTTTGGTTCCGCTACTCATGCAAAGTCTCCTTCTATGTCCCACCCACCCCCTCCCATCCGGCTTGTTGTGATGTTGCATCATTTCTCCCCCTGCGGCTTCTGGTGTCGCTGCAGTGTGAACGTAATGTACGCCCTTACTTTGCCACTCATTCTATGTGTATGCATTGCCTCACGTTGGCAACACACCACCAGTGTAGGACTCTAACCACAAGGCAACAGCAGCAGCGTTGCGAAGGCGAGCGGGGTTCTTGTTAGTGTTGAGGGGTTTGTAGTGAAGTGACCATGCGGGCGGTTGTGTGGCGCAGCGTGAGGGGGCGTGTCGCGGTACAAACGCGGCGTTCGTTCTTCACACCGCCGCCGCTTCCGCCGGGACTCTCACCGCCACCTGCCGCGTCGGATGCGCAGCCGTTTTTCAAGAGTCCTGCAGACAAGCACGTTGCTCCGGCGTCCTCGACGCCTATCAGCAGCCGCGACAAGAACAGCAGCAAAAGCAGCACGACAACGCCGTTAAAAACCGCTGCCGCTCCGGACGTCGAGGGCGACGCGGGTGGTGTCCTACACAACAACAGCAGCAGCAGTTTTAGTGGTGGTAATAGCGATATCGGATGTTTTCAGCAGCAAATGCAGCCCCATCACCTGCCTGCCTTTCTGTCGCCGGAGAAACTCGCAAGGCATGTGCCAAAGCCTGCGAAGTTTGCCGCGTCGCTGGTCGCTGATGCGCTCAAAATACCCGCAAAGGTCACCAGCAGCAGTCCCACCACGGAGCCGTCTGGGGAGTTGCGGCAGGAGTACAGCGAGCACTGCGTGCTCGGCTGGTCCCCGCGTGATCTGTATCGTGTCGTCGCCGACGTTTCGCAGTACAGCACCTTTCTGCCGTGGTGCATCGACTCGATCGTGCACAACGTTACGCGCCTGGAGGATAATAACGACCCCACCACCACCAGTGGGAGCGGCACCAGCAGCAGCACTACCAATAACAACATCAACAACGGCAGCCCAATGGAGATGCTTGCCACGTTGACGGTTGGCTTCTCCTTCTTCAAGGAGAAGTACACATCGCAGGTGCTGCTGGTGCCGGACCGGCGTGTGCAGGCGGTGTTGACAGAGGACGACGACCGGCAACGCCGCAGTCCCGTCCTCAGCGACCTGCGCTGTGTGTGGGAGTTCAGCGCGGTGCCTGGGCATGAGCGGCAGGTGGAGGTGCGCTTCCGCGTCAGCTTCGCCTTCAGGAACCCGCTGCACTCGAAGCTCGTCATGTCGCACGTCGTGACACTTATGACGCGCAGCTTCGAGCGGCACTGTGAGAAATTGTACGGGCCGCCGAGCTGCGAGCGCGAGCGCCTCGCGCCACTGTAGCGACGGCGACTGTCGGCACGGCACGGCACGGAAAGGGCGGGGGTGTGGGTGGGGAGGGTGCGCGGTAGTCTGCTTTTCCTCGGAGGGGAAGGAGTGAAGCCGCCACGAGAGCAAAAGACAAAAAAAGAAGACGAAAAACCGGCATAAAAAGCGCCTGGAGGTGGTGGGGTGAGGCGTTTGGTTTTGTTTCGTGGTAAAAGGGAGGAGAAAAGGAGATGATAATAAATTTGTATGGATGCCACGAAACTCCTTTTTGTTTTTGTTTGTTTGTGTCCTGGTGGGAAATAATTATCGCCATCGTGGCCACGTTGTCTCTCTTCGCGGCGTGTCGGTCTGTGCGTGCCTCCGCGGGTGGAGGCGGCGTCAGTCCTCGTCGGGTCGCAAGCATCAGACGTCTCTGTCTTTCTCTCTCCCTGTAAGTGTGTGTGCGTGTGTATGGTGCCGAGCACCTCATTGCTGCCGCTATCTGTGGCTCTATTTTCGCTTTGTCGCACATCTTCTTCTCTCATTCTACTTGCTCCTCGCTCGCTTCAACGTAGATGCGGTCGGGTGGCGATGGCGCCATGCCGCAGGAGCACAGCGAGGCGGCAGCAGCGGCGCTCCTCGAGGCAAACAGTGAGTTGATGACGCTCTTCTTTCGCCATATCGCCGTCTGCCCGCCGCACGGGCCCTTTAAGTATTACAGTGCGCTCACCTTCACGGAACGTGTACGTCGCTGGAGCGCGGCGCACGCGTCAACAGCCGAATCGGTGGCGATGGATGCCTTGACGCCCACAGCGGTGCTGCAGCTGATGGAGAGGTACTACAACACCCAGCACCTGTGCAGCTGGCCGCTGCTGTATGTTCCTGCAGAAATACGCCTGAAGGATGTAGAGGCCCTCATTGAGAAGGGGAAATAAGACGCAGAAAACAGCGGCATGAGGGGGGGGGGGGGGGGGCGGAGTTGGTTGAGTCCGGCGTGGATTATACCGGCACAGAGGATCATCGCTGATTGTGTAACCCACGAGTGAGAACGTGCGATACGCGACGCCTTGTGCCAACTGAGACTCGTGTGTACTTGGAGCACACACCTCCTCTTCGTTTTTCGCTTGTTTGTTTCCTTTTTTTTGGTTTTTTTTGTTGGTGGGGGGCTCTTCACTGCTTCCTTTCTCTTCTTGTTTTTTTTTGGGGGGGGGCGTCTGTGTGTGTGTGTGTGTGTGTGCGCCTCTGTGCACGCACGCTTGTGTGGTGTGGTTTCCTCCCCCCGCCGCTTGTGGGGCACGGCAGGAGGAAGCACAGTGAGAATGACTTCTACGCATCTGGAGGGGCCGCTTCTCCGCCGCTCCATCCCATTTGTGGAGCGCTGGGTCGCTGAGCTCGTTGCCGCGAGGGAGCCGCCGGTGCCTGCCAAGAAGGACGCCACCCCCCAGCAGCAGCAACAACAGGCCACTGGCGGTGGCGGGAAGAAGAAGGGCGGCAAGGCTGCCGCCCCCGCTGCCGAGGCGAGCAATGCCACCAGCATGTCGAGGTGCCAGTTCGTCATTGGCAAGGTCCTTGACGTGCGCGCCCACCCGGAGAGCCAGAAGCTCTATATTGAGGAGATCGACCTTGGCGAGGCAGCGGGCGGGCGGCGCACTATTCTTAGCGGCCTGCAGGAGTACGTAAAGCCGGACGACTTTGTCAACCGCCTGGTGCTTGTCATTGCGAACCTTGAGCCGCGCAAGATCGGCGGCATACTCTCAGAGGGGATGGTGCTGTGCGCCGCGCGTAGCAGCGAGGAGAAGCGCGAAGTGGTGCTGCTCGACGTGCCCGCCGACACGCCGGTGGGCGAGCGTGTCGTCTTCGAGGGCCACGACGGTCCGCACGAGCCGGTGCTGAAGAAGAAGCTGGCGCGGCACTTCGAGGAGGTCGCCGCAGAGCTGCGCACCAACGCGGCGGGGGAGGTGGTGTGGGGCGACATGCCGTTCCGCACCACACGTGGCGTCATCACCGCGTCGATTGCCAACGGCGTTGTCTCGTAGGACATATGCGCACGCCGCCTGCGTTGCGTGCGGGGGGCTTGGGAGATTCTGGGGCAGTCTAGTGGTGAGGCAGGGCGGGGGCCAGAGACACACACCGCCTCCAGCAGGCACGTAGAACGCAACACGAGGAACAACAACAGAACGAGACGAAATAGGGGGGTCAATGCGAGGAAATGGCAACAAGAAGGAAGGAAAGAATGCAATGAACGAGAAGCATCTGTCGGTGTGAAGGACAGATGTTTCTTCAATGTCACTAAACGATGGTAACTGAAGAGGAGACTGGGAGTCGGGGGAAAAAAGAGCGGGGGTGGGGGGGCAGTGGAGTTGCGTAGATATGCCCCCCCCCCGCGCATGTGGTGCAGGAATTCTGTACAAAAACACGCTCACAGTACGCGTCGTTTTCTTTATACCACTTCCTTCTTTACTGTGTTAGCGCGTGTGTAGAATAGAGACGGAGAGAATAGAGTATTCGCGTTGGTGTGTGTAAAATTCAAGCGCGTACCCATTGCCATTCGCCAGGAGTATGGGACGGCAGAGCGAGCATGGCAGAAGGCGCAACAGGTTTTGTTGGCTACTTCTCCTCTTCGCGGCGTCAGCGTTTCTGGCTTTGCCGCTTCTCGTGTTTTCGTGGCGCGATGCCGATACCAATACTGATGCTAATTATAATGTCAATGCCCAAGTCAATACCGAATTAAAACACCTCGCAGATAAAAATCAAAAGATCCCGATTATTCTTGCTGGTGGCGGTTGTGCTTCTGCAGCCTCAGCTGCTGCTGCTGGTGGTGGTGCTTTCTCCAAGGGTGATGTGCGAGAGGACGCCTTGACGGTGGTGCTCATGTCCTATCCGCAGACGAGGCGGATGCATCGTTTGTTACAAATTGTTCGTACCATTTTGTATGAGTGGCCAAAGAACGATGGGCTTGTTTATGAAGTCTTGCTGGTGTGGAACGGCCTGGCAGAGACGATTCCACCCGCGCTGCGTGAGCTGCAGACGGAGTATGAAACGAAGTATCGTTCCGTGTATAAAGGGCCCGGCCACGCCCCGTACCTGCGCATCCTGCCCCAGAAGGAAAATTGTTTGGCAAACCGCTGGATGATTGCCGCTCAGCTGCGCACCGACGCCGTGCTCAATATGGATGACGACTTGCATGTCCCATACACTTCCGCACGGTGCCTCTTTGAGACGTGGCGCCACTCGCCGTCGTCGCTCGTCGCGGCGGATGTGCGTGCCATCGTGAATTGCACCAACCCCACTCAACTGTGCGGCCCCTTTGGCACGCTTGGCTACGCCGCTAGGGAGAAGTTGGATGGGAACAGCCTCGCGTACAGTATTGCGTTGCCACGTGCCGTCGTTGCCTCGCGCTTGTACTACGTGGCATTCGTTCAGTCCTTTAGTCATGTTGTGCAAGTACCGTCGTACAATAGTCTTCTTGCGCCGGTGCCGGCACGGGAGGATTCACTTCAACAAGTCATCACAGAGCTGCATTGCGACGATCTTGCCTTCAACTACGCCGCGGCGAACGCGTCAGTGCACATAACGTGGGGTGATGTGTTGCAACCACATTACCGGCGACGGATAGGTGCTGTGGTGCTCTTCGTTTCAGCCCCGGTGAGGTCGTTCCCAGAGTCCGGTGGCTCCAACGCCCTTACCATGCAGAGGGGTATGAAAGTAAAACGGGTGCAGTGTGTCAACCGCCTTGCAATGCTCTTTTCTCGCGACGGCGGGCGCACACCATTCCGCCTCGAGAGGCAGTCGTGGCAAGGGAGGTGCAACGTCAGTCCATGATGCGACTGGGGCCTTGGCGGAGAGAGAAGGACTGTGGGGTGGAGTATAATGCAGTGATAGTGGTAGTGGGACCTGTCGAATGAGTTCTGTTTTGGATTCTGGGAAGTTCAAACGTGTATGGAGTTTCATAATGATACATTCAGTATGGTTTCTTTGTCTGGTAGTTTTGGAAAGCAACTAGTGCGCATGCCACTTACAGTAACCGGCCCTCCGATCCAAAGGAAAGGGAAATCTGCATTGTTTTGCCCCCACTGCCCTTTACCAAAGCAAAAAGACCAATAAACCGAAAATAAAAATATCAAAGGAACGTTGTTCTAATTTTACCTTTTTTTAGGTGCGTATTAAGGAATAATAGTCGATACCCTTCATCGATGATCCGATTTTTGAATTTCGTATCTCTGCTGCTCCTCTGCTGCTGTGCCTTTGGGGGATTCGCTGCTGTGGAGCATCGCTGTGTGTTTGACAAGAGGTCCACGCAGCGCCCGAGACCAGTGAGGGTGGCGCGTGCACTTCCCATGGGTGGTGGTGGTGCGTGGAGTACATACACGGTCTCCGGCAGCCACTGGGCCCCCATCCGCATCAAAGTATTCACCGATGACTTGGACAAACCTGCGCGGCATTGCACCGCCCCAATGCAGAGACGCCCGGACTTCGCTGGGGGCACGGTAAAGTGTAGAAAAGTGGATATTCTTAGTGTGCGGAAGAAAAGTCTTCTCCTTCGGGAAGCAATCCCGTTGGCAGTAAAGATGCACGCAGAGCGCCTTCTCGTGCGACCCGAAAGCGATGTGCCCCTCAAGGTGCCCATTTTCACCGGGGAGTACTGCCGCGAGTTCTCCATCCCCGATGAGCACCACACAGAGGGTGTCTCGGGGGCTGATATGATTCTGTACGCGGCAGCGGGGCCGACGGAAGACTCGACTATTGCGTGGGCATTGGCGTGCGCTACGAATGGCGATGGACGGCCCATTGTTGGTATTACCAACGTTGGACCGGAATATATTAAATCATCGGCGTATATTATTCGTGTCTTGGCTCATGAGCTGGCACACGCTCTCGGGTTTGACTTGGATCTGATGAACGAACTCCGCATGGTGACCGTGTTGAATTCCTTACGTGGAAAGAATGCCCTTGTTGTGTCGACCAACAAGACAAGAGAGAAGGCCCGCATGCACTATAACTGCTCAACTGCTCCCGGTATAGAGCTGGAAGATGAGGGAGGCGTGGGGACGGTAGGCTCTCACTTGGAGCGGCGCAACGCCAAGGATGAGTTGATGGCTGGCATTGCAGGCGCTGGTTACTACACAGCGTTGACGATGTCAATTTTCGAAGACATGCAATTTTATCGTGCAAATTGGGGAATGGAAGAGTCAATGAAGTGGGGCCGAAATGCAGGTTGTAGCTTTTTGAACGACAAGTGCGTGAAGGACGGAGTCACAATGCATCCCGACTTGTTCTGCACCGTTCGCAAGACCCAGGGCTTGACGTGTACATCGGACCATCAGGCCCTTGGAAACTGTTTGATGTTCACGTACAAGAAAAGCTTCCCAGAACAGTTCCAGTACTTTGGTGACTTGCCGAAGGGTGGGCCGTTGGGTGAGTTGATGGACTACTGCCCTTTTGTCGCGCCGTATAGCAACACAAACTGCGTGAGTGGGGCGTCATGGAAGATGCCAGGAAGCCGCCTCGGCCGTAACTCGAGGTGTCTGAAAGGAGACTCGCTCCGTATTGGCGAACGTGCCGTGGGTGATATCTGCGCGGAGGTAGCATGCAGCAACCGTACACTGCGTGTGCGGTACCTTGGCGACGACGCGTGGCACATGTGCGCAGAGGGGGAGACCATCAAGCCGAATAAGACTTTCACGAGTGGCGAAATTAGGTGCCCGCCGTATGACGATGTTTGTACAGGTGTGTGGCCCGATGTGTGAAGGCCGGCGGCGGCGGAAGTTCCGACGAAGCACCGCAGCCACACGCCTGTATTGTTATTATTTTTGTTCCCCCTTCTTCCAACAGCTATTCCCCCCACCCCTGCCCTCTCCCATGTCACGCACGTGCAGGGCGGGGGTCCTAACCGCGATAAGCAACAAAACGAAAAACTCTGAGGGGAGTCAATGACAAGGTTGACCCCGAAATAAAACATAAAAAAAATGATATCTTTGTTTTTTTGTTATGCCGCACAGATGCACGAAGACAAGAAGATGAAGACGAAAAACCGGGAACGGTAATAATGAGCCAAAGTCGGCGTGGCGACAGCCGGACACAAATGGAAAAGGAAAAGGTTTTTTTATTATTATTTTTGTTTTTCACATTCTGCAATACAACTGGATATGAAGACGTTATACTGTTTTTATTTTCGTGCTCAGCAGCAATGTTCTCAAGAGGGAAAAAGAAAAAATTAGACAGAAGCATGTTTAGAGTATTTTATTGGTGTGTGTGGAGGTGATGGGAGTGCAGCCTTCCTTCCGCACGTTTCACACAGACGCACAAACATAGAATTTATTTCATGGTGAATCGGAGGTGTGGTTACCTTTCAAGTTGGTGTTGATTCGTGTTTTGTTGTTTGGTTTATGTATATATATA